GGGGTCATGAGTCAGGATTAACAAATAATTGCAGCCCCAGCCATGGTGGCACAGGCAGAGCGGCTGCTGCATGGTGGCTGAGGCTACCTGGGAGGCCCAGCTTTTGCTCCTGGCGCCCTAAGCAGGCCAGGCTGGTGGTGTGCACCTGTGGTCCTAGCTGACTGGGAGGCTGGGCAGGAAGGAGAGGGATGTGGTGAGACCCTGTCAACAAATCCTTCTATCAGATCAGCCGGTAGTGCCGTGGTTAAGTGTGTACACGTGGACCAGATCCCTCATGGCTGGCTGAGGTCTGAGTGCCGGCCCACTGACCTGGAAAACACATTGGGTTTATGCGCACACATGTCCAAAATCCTGATGGGATGGGGAAATGGAGAAGGGTTGTGGTGTGACCATGCCCCATTAGGGGGGGTGCTCTCTCTCTCTCACGAGTACACATGCCCTCTGGCACTAAAAAAATCTCTCTTTCTTTACCTACTCATTCTCTCTCATTAAAAAATAAATGAAAAAGCAAAAAATATCTGTAGTTCAGACAATCACTATTTTAATTGTCAGAAGGCAATGCACTCGCCAGAGAAAGAGCAGTGGGGGTGGAGAACACTCACTAAAAGGGCATGGTCACTCCACAATTTCTTCTCTATTTCTGCTTCCTGTTGGGATTTTGGGCATACGCACACATGTGCCCGGCATGTTTTTGAATCCCCTGGGCTGGGATTCGAATTGCAGTTGGCCATGTGGAATCTGGCTTCCTTAACCAGTAGGCTATAACCGTTGCAGCTTCAGCGGTGGTGGTGATGGCGTGACGGGAACTGCATCTGACTGGGTTTACCATGTGCCCGGCACTGTGCTAGGCCCTTTACATGACTTATTTAATGCCCGTCACAACCTCTTGAGCTAAGAAGAATTATACCCATTTTACAGATGAGGAAACCTGGGCTCACAGGTGATATAATTTGTGGAAAGGCTTGGCACAGCTGGGATCTGAAACTAGGTCTGTCTGATGCTAAGGCTGAGCCATTTTCACGGTGGGCAGCCGGACCTGTCTCGACTGTGTACAAGCTGCCTTTTCGTGACAGCAGCTCTGCTGTCCCCAATGTGTATTCTTTTATGAAAATATTGCTCGTGGAAAGGTCAGAGTTCGGTTGGTACACATCAACCTGGCCTCATCCCTTCTTCACATGCTAGAATTCTTCTGTTGGAACATTGTCACGAAACTGATACCTGAATTCCCTGAGTGTTCCCTACTCTCTGGAATCCTGGTTCCTCTGCCAGAACCGCCAGACTGCCCGTGACCCAGCTCCGCAGGGTGAACCACTGGACAGAAGGCCCCCAGGGCTGACTCCAGTGCTTAGGGCTAATGGTGTCCACACTGATCACCCAGAGCTGGGCCTCGAGGCTGCTGAGTACTTAGAGCATCTCCACTGGAGGAAGGGGGTTTCCTGCTGGCCTTGCACCACGGACTGAGCGAAACCTGGCCCTTGGCCATTCAGCCGCTGGTGAAGGAGGCTGAGCCCTGTCTGTTCCTGGTTCCTGGGTGCTTCCCCCCTACATTGACACGGTGGCTGGGAGGGCTATACCACTGGCCTCCTTGGCACCTTACGAGGTATATTTTCCTTCTTGATTAGAAGTTTTCTTGGCTGCTCTTCTAAGTTACTCCAAATATTTCTCCTGCCTTCTGGTCAGTACATTAGCAGGGCGTGAAGAGAAATTTATTTTCCATCATTCCCATAGCAACTGGCTCCTCCAGAATCTGTTTTTGGTATCACTGATGGTATATAGGGGCTACTTCCTTTGCGGTTAAAAATTCAAACTGAAACCAGACCATAAACCTTCAGAATGAATTTAGCAGAATGATTTTAATTCTTAAAAAGAAAAAAAAATAGAAAAGACATATATTATATAGACATTTGAAAAAAGACTGGAAGGAACTATGCCTAAGTGTTAACAGTGGCTGTCTTTCTGTTGAGATTGTGCATGACTATACTGTCTTATTTCTACTTTTCTTTCAATTGAATAGTGCTACTTTTTGTTTTTAATTAATGGACTAATTTTTAGAGAATTTTTAGGTTGATAGAAAATTGAGCAGCAGTGTGAGCGACATGTAAGGACTTCTCTGAAAGAGCTGGGTGTGCCGGCCTGTGTCTGTGGTCCCAACTACTTCGGAGACTGAGACAGGAGGATCGTGACAGAGTGACTCTGTCTAAAAAAAAAGAACCAAACCAGTAGCCAAAAACACCACACACACAAACCACACACACACACACACACACACACACACACACACACACACGCAAAGAGGTGGTGCAAGCAGAAGGGTGCTCTGTGCAAGGCTGGGGCCGCATGGGAGGCTTGTTCAGATCCCACGCCAACATGGACAGGGCGCGCACAGCGGCGTATTCCTGAGGTCCCAGCTACCTGGGAGGCCAGGGCGGGGGACTGCAATGGTGAAACCCTATTAAGAATACAAAACGGGGGGCCAGCAGGTGGCGTGGTGGTTAAGGTGCTAGACATTCCCACATGGCCGACCGTGGTTCAAGTCCTGGACCTGGTGGCTTGCTTTCTCACTTTCCCTCTCTCTCTCTCTCTCTCTCTCTCTGGCTGATCAAACTGGAAAATAATAATAATAAATAAAGTTAAATAAATAATTATAAAAAAAAGAATACAAAGCGACTAATTTCTTCTTCCATTTTTGTCTTTGCTCTCATTTTTTTTCTTTTTTTGGAGAGGTTTTTGCTATAGGGCACATGTGCTCGCCAGACAGAGAGAGAGAGACACAGAGACAGAAAGCGAGAAGTCACCCCCCCAGGGGGGATGGCCACGCCACAATCCCTTCTCCTCCATTCTCCTCTCGGGATCTTGGGCATGCACGCACATGTGCCTGGTGTGAGTTTTAAGCCACCGGGTCCGGGACGCGAACCACGGTCGACTATGTGGGAGTCCAGCGACATAGCCATTACGCTAACTGCTGGTTCCCACCACTGATCTTTTTACGGTCTCCATAGTTTTCCTTTTTCCAGAATGTCATACAGTTGGCATCGTGTAGTAGGTAGCCTCTCGAGACTGGCTTCTTTCACTTAGTGACGTGCACTTAAGCTTCCTCCACATCGTTTCGTGGTCTAACAGCCCAGTCTTTTTTACCCGCTGTCTGGATGTACCACAGTCTGTTTATCCATTATCTGCTGGAAGACATCTTGGTTGTTTCCCATTTCTGGCAATCATGAATAAAACTGCTATCAATATCTATGTTTAGGTTCAACTCATTTGGGTAAATACCTGGGCGCATGATTGCGGTATCATATAGTAAGGTTATGTTTACCTTGGGCACACATACACGCACGCCCGGCATGAGTTTAAGTCACCAGGACTTGAACCGTGGTCGACTACATGGGAGTCCAGCGACATAGACATTATGCCAACTGCTGGTCCCTGAATTTGGGCTTTTCCTGTGGCATCAGTGTTGTGCCGTGGCACCCTACTGCAAATGCCATGGTGACTGGGCCACAGGCCCACTGTCTTCTAAAGTGGCTGTACCATTTTTCATTTTCACCAGCCACAAATGGGAGCTCCTGTTGCTCCACGTTCTTGTCAGCATTTGGTATTGTCAGGTGTTTTCCTTGTTGTTGTTGTCAATTTTAGTCATTCTAATGGGTGCACAAAAGTACTTTATAGTTGTTTTAATTTGTATTTCCCTAATGATATATACTGAGCCTGTCTTCCTATGCTTATTTGCCGTCTGCTCTTTAGTGAAGTGTAGGTCCAGATCTTTTGGCCTTTTAAAAATTGGGTTATTTGTTTTCTTACTGTTGAGTTTTAAGACTTCTTTGTGTATTTTGGACATAAGCCCATTATTAGCTATTTGTTTT